ACCGCTAAGATTTTGATCAAAAACTGCTATCTTTTGAGGCGCTAGCTTCAGTAATAAGAATATGTTAAGTAGTTATACCCTCTACAAAAAGCATTGTCCATAGTTTCCAATATGGAAGCACCCATGGCGGATGTTCTTAAAGCATGATTGTATACCTTAACCTAATCTCCATGTGTAAACATTATTTTTGACGTCTAATGAAGCAAAAGAATGGCGCACAGTAAAATATTTTTTAAAAATCGTGCATTAGGATATGTTAGCAATCACATTCCCCTCGTGACGAGGTACATCGAACGACGAAAAGAAAATCTCATAGTGACATGCGTGGGAAATTCGTTTCACACGTACGGCTGTACACATTTTACGTTACTAAGTGTATCAGGAACACATCCAGGTGAAATTACATGTTTATCAGCGGATAGATATCACATTTATTCAGCGTGTGAAAATGTCATATGTGCTTGGCGAAGAGGTACAGAACTGAAGCACACTTACAAAGGACACGAATGTGCTGTGCACAGCCTATTACCCTTTGGTCCACATTTAATATCTATCGACGAAGAGAGCAATGTTAAAGTGTGGGATATTAAATCTGAAGAACTTGTTGTACAACTTAACTTCAGCAATAGACATTTTAAAATAACTACAGTAGTTCATCCTAATACTTACATGAACAAAGTATTATTTGGTAGCGAACAAGGTCAATTGCAACTATGGAATTTAAAAAGTGCCAAGGTTATTTATATATTCGATGGTTGGAATACGCCTGTAACAGCATTGGAACAGGCTCCTGCGGTAGATGTTGTAGCTGTGGGTTTGAGCACTGGAAGAATCGTCTTGCATAATCTGAAATATGATGAAAGTCTTTTCGAGTTGATACAAGACTGGGGTGCGGTCATATCAATTTCTTTCCGTACAGATGGTCATCCAATTATGGCCACAGGAAGCTTGGAAGGTCACATTGTATTTTGGAACTTGGAGGAACAGAAAGTAGAAAGTCAACTTCATAAGGCTCATTATGGATCGGTCACTGGTTTAAAATATTTACCAAACGAGCCGTTATTAGTATCATCGTCACCTGACAATTCCTTGAAGCTATGGATATTTGATTTAGCCGACGGTGCAGGCAGACTTTTGAGAATCAGAGAAGCTCACTCAGAACCTCCTACCATGATACGTTTTTATGGAGAGGAAGGTCACAGCATATTAACAGCTGGAAGTGACTCTTCTTTAAGAATATTTTCCACAGTCACAGAAATATTAAACAAAAGTTTAGGAAGAGCTTCGTTCAATAGAAAAGCTTCAAAGAAAAAAGGACGTGCCGTCAGTGATCCTATGATAATGCCTCCAATAGTTACATTTGCTGCAGAAACAACAAGAGAAAAAGAATGGGATAACGTTGTAACAACTCATTCGGGATTGGGTACAGTTACTACCTGGTCTTTCAATGAAGCAAGAATGGGAGAATTCAAATTATTTCCAGAAAAATTTAAAGGCAACCGCAATGTTTTCGCAACTACTGTATGCTTGACAAAATGCGGAAATTTTGTTATTATCGGTTATAATACAGGTCATGTGGAAAAATTTAATATACAATCAGGAATTCATAGATGCAGCTATGGATCTGAAAAAGGAGCCCATAGTGGACCTGTAAAAGGTTTAATGGTAGATTCTTTGAATCAAACTGTAATTACTGCTGGAAGAGACGGTGTTATAAAGTTCTGGGATTTTAAACCGAGAAAAGGTAAAAAAAAATAAATACCTATCTGCATATACGTAATTTAATTATTTATATATCTATAATTTACGCATTGTATTTTCAAGGAGTTACAGAACCGAGAGCAACGTTAGCAATGGAAGAATCAATTGAATGGTTAAGATATCATAATGATAGTTCTCTCGTGGCTGTTGCTTTGGAAGATTTTAGTATCGTATTACTAGATCTTGATACAAGAAGAATTGTACGCCGTTTCGAAGGACACGAAGGACGGTTAACGGACGCATGTTTTAACCCAGACTCAAGGTGGTTGATAACAGCATCAATGGGCTGTACAATCTGCGTATGGGATATTCCTTCTTCAAACCTAATAGATATCTTTCAGGTAACTTATTCTTGGTGAACTTAAACGTTGTAAATATTTCCCTTATCCCGTGTACTGTTAGTTCATGATAATATTTTAGGTTCCAGATGCATGTACATCGTTGCATTTTTCTCCTACTGGAGAATTTCTTGCTACAACACATGTCTGCAATCTCGGGATATATTTATGGTCAAACCGCACTCTTTATTCCCATATTTCATTACAAGCCGTACATAGAGACGATCCGATTCCTATGATCGGCCTTCCTGGTTCGGTAATTGAAGTTATCAACCTCGAAGAAGACGAACTTCTTGAACCAGAGCCAGAATATGTTTCTCCAGAACAATTGCCGAATAATCTCATCACAATGTCCGGTTTTGCCAGTTCAAGGTGGCAGAATTTGCTGAATATAGATATTGTGAGAAAACGGAACAAACCGGCTGAAGCACCTAAAGCACCAGAAAGAGCCCCATTCTTTTTGCCAACAGTTGCATCATTAGAACTCAAATTTGATTTTTCGAACGTACAAAACGCGGAAACAAACAAGAAAGTGATCTCGCATCCCGACCTACAAAATCTCACCGTTTTCAGTAAAGTTTTACTGCCTGTTAAGGACGATAGATTTGAGGAGGTTGTTGAAAGATTGAAACAAATGAGTCCAACTTCTATAGATTTTGAAATTCAATCATTATCAATCGATGAAAAAACGAGCAACTTATTGTTACTTCAATTTATGAAAATGATACATTACATGATGGAAAAGAAAACAGACTTTGAATTAGCACAAGCATACTTATCCGTGTATTTAAAATGGCACGGAACTGCAATTACGGAAACTGAATCATTGCGAAGTTATCTAAACACGTTACAAGAAGTACAATCAAGAAATTGGTTTTTGCTAAGAGATAAATTGTTCTATAATCTTAGTGTTGTACAAGCTTTGAAAAAGATGTAATATACTTTGAAACTGTAAAATGAATCATTGTCTTGTACATTTTCAAATTATACTATGAATCAGTTTATAAATATACATCGTAAAAGAATTTTCATTGTTTGAAAAATATTCGATTTATTGCAACATTTTACAAATAACAAGTTTAGTTGAGTTATCACACATACATTCTTCGATACAAACTTATAATTTCATTCTTATGAAGGTTCAGACATTCTATTCAGTGATGATAAATGCACGAGTAAAACAGACTGCGATGACAAATATAACTTATGTATATAAATATAACAATTACAAAAATAGTTTTAAAGTTTTTGTAATGTGATTCGACTCTCTTGAATGGTATCCTAGATTTTTTTTAACTATTTTATAGTACGACAATATGTACATTAGGGTTTACAATTATTAAACTACGAGATCTATTCTCTGCATAGAAGAAAATGATTTAAATGCTCAATGGCTGCTGGCTCCAGTGCCAAGTCTTCAATGTAAGCTTCAAAATTTATGACAATTCTGTAGATACTTCGTTTTGCAGTGGCACATAAAGATTGGAAGATCTGTTTAATAAATTTATCGTCCTCTTCTTGTTTCTTCGTCATAATATTCGACTTTTGCAATTTATCAAGTGTTTGCTTCAAGCCAAGTAACGTGTTAATTATAAGTGGTAAATCCTTTTGTACAATTCCATACGAGTCTTCGTTCAATGATAACACAGCTAAAGAGGAAATGGCTTCAGCAGCCCAAATAATTGATTGTCCATTAAATAAAATGTAGCATACTTGGCCACCTTCAATTTCTCCAAAAATGTAAGCAATTAAGGGCTTAGATAATAAATATGTAAGAAAATTGTTCCATTTCGTTTTTATAAATTTTTGAATGAATAATTCATTCTCAACATATTGTTTTATTTCATCTTGCTGAGCAGATACCGGTGGTTCCACTGTTACTAAATTACGCATACGGTATACATATTCCGTTTGAACTGCTGTGCTTTTTGTTATTGTGGTTGAAATTGGAGTTGTCAATGGTTCTTGAGTTCTAGTGCATGCTAAGTTTACATCGTTCGAAAATTTTTTGATAAGACTGATACACTTTTCTACGATGCAATTCCAATTGTAGGGATGACCGCCAGGTTGACTCAGTGTAAAGAGTACATCTCTTCTTGACTTCTCCTTCTGTGCCATAGTAACTAAATCCAAATAGCCCAACTGTTGCATTATGGGTATCTTAACCATAGATAATGCTTCGGGAAGCGATATCCCAGAGTCATCATTGCTAAATGAATGACTTTGTCTCAAGTCGAAGGGAACCCACTCTGTTAAGTACAAGTTAAAAAGCAAGTACATGGTTTCGATTGTCAGCACATAAGTCAAATGGTACAACCACAATTGGAACATCAATGATAGGCTCAGTAAATTAGGAATACTGCTTAATGATTCATTTTCCAGTTGTGCAGAAGTTAGAAACAATATTATAGAACGACAATAAGAACCCAAAAAATAATAGATAACTAAATAATATAAAACTGGCCATATACATTTTACCATCACCGACGGCAGTATCGAATACATTTTAGTCTTGAATTGGAACATCTTTGATAAAGATATAATAGGGAACTTCAAATAATTTACGCGAAAAATACTAGTTTTTAAGAAAAAGTATAGTCCACTCCAAAATCCACTCAGAAACAAAATGTATTGTTTTTCTATTAAACAAGTCCCGTACACTATTTTGCATTCTGTTGTTAGAAAGCTGTATGTGCCTTCTTTGACTAACAAATGTAGCCAAACAAGAAGACCACCGTTAATAACATGCAGGGTACATAGTAAGATGTTCTGCGATGTGAGCGTTCCACAAAACTTTGCAAATCTGCTTTTCATGTAGGGTGGAGTATTTGAGAAGCTTTTGCAACAAATAATTCCTTGGAAAAACGTGACGGTAGCAAGAATACAAAAGAAACTCCACATGCGAAACGAGGTTATCGCTGTCCAAGTACTTTGTAACCATGATTCGTAATTCGTGTTCAGATTTGTAATTAGAAGTAACGTTGACATAAGACAAAATTGTATTACTATAGTGGAGATTATCGCTAGGAACATCCTCTGCATCAATAATTCTTTATATCCTTTCTTGTTTGTCTGCAACATTCTGTTTTCTTGCGGTAGTTAACCTTCACAGTCTTCGCTATATATTTTAAATTGACTTCAATAGATCAGTATATTAGTACATAAATGTTTCGTATACTGAAAGATGTTTACTTGATCTTGTCAATAATCTGAATTATTACAAGTGTGTTTACTTATGTATTATTATGAAAGATTAAAAAAGATACAATGTATACAGAGCTTTGAAAAGCCGGTATGTATTCTTAAAAATTGTCCGTTGAATTCATTAAGCGCGCCATTAAGGTTGTTTTTATGAAAGGATTCTTAAGGTAAATCCGTAAAGCAAATGTAGACATATATATGCATGTAAATTTTGATACACGTGTAAATTGTTCGAGATCTCTTATAAATATTTCAATATGTTTTATAAGAGTCATTTTATATATAATTAACGTATATAGTACCATTAACAAATAATTATAAATCTAGATAGGTTTAGGAACACCAAATTTTTCTATACATACATACACACATATAAAGTGCATGTTTACTTGTCAGAATCGGACAGACCCGCTGCAAATACATACATATCACATTGGGAAGATCCTGGGAAGGCCCTATTTGCTTCATATTCTAATTCGTTAATATTATCTACATGCTGTATTAACCATTGTTGTTTGTAGCTCTGTGAATCTGATAAAGAAATGCAACATAAGTCAAGTAACAGTACATATTTGATAAGTTTTCGAACCCAAACAGGAACTATTCATTATTCAGGGAAGGTTGCCTTACTAGTAACATCTTCAATTAACCCGCATGTCATTTTCAATTTGTCTATCTGTATAATATAAACAAAATGGATTAAAACTCTACGAAAATTAGTTTTTGTTATTTTATGAAACCTTGAAGTGCTCGTCGTCATGTGGAAGTGCCATAAATGTGGGAAACCTGTATACTTCGGTTAGTCTCAATCGTCGCATACATTAAAAAGGCGTACTAATTTTGACAAGAAGTGTTTCTTGTCATTAGAACGAATTGATTTTTTTTCCGTAGGAACATGATTTGTATATATTTTTCAAACGAAACAAAGTGATTTGAAAATTAGCTTGTACGTCTCGTTGCAAGATATTTTACTGTTACTTAAAATATTTCAGAAAATTAAAAAAAAAACAATATAAGAAGACTCGCTTTTTTAATTGCTCCAATTCACAGATCCCGATGTATTAAGCATTTAAAAAGAAATAAAATCTATGAAAATAATAATTTATGTTTATATTCTGTTGATGAAAATTTGTTTTCTCCGTTAATTCCACTTGAAATTATCATGAAAAAAATTATGTAACACTGTGTATGTAAATATATTTTATAGAACATTTACATGAATTAAAGATTCTATATAATTGGTTTTACATTTATGAATAAATCTACCAAAACAAAACCCAAGTATCTTACATAAATATAACAATGGTATTCATTTATTTGAAATGTAATTATTGATGGATCTTTAGCTGAACGTAAACAGTCATTGGGATATGATTGGCATCCAGAGTGTTTACGTTGCGAAGAATGTGGAAAACGTTTAAATCCAGGCCAGCATGCAGAGGTATAATTTATTTCTTTATTTATTTATATTTCTAATGTACTATTACTAATTACCAATTTCAAAGTTGTACTTTATATTATTCTATATATGATTATATAGCACAAAGGTGTACCATATTGCCATGTACCTTGCTATGGAGCATTATTTGGACCACAGTTGTTTGGTCATGGAACAAGGGTTGAATCGCACACCAGTTTTGGAAAAAAAGAAGCTAGACCATCTTTACCCAGGTTTGTCACCATTAAATAATACTTTATTTAATTTGGTATATTAATCAAATCTTATTGATATCTAGATCACACTTAGAGTCAAAGTTGAAAGTTTTCAATCAGTATTACGAAGGCAAAAGTGGAGGAATAAGAAGTCGTGAGGTAATATATATTTTAATTATGAAATTATACTCACAAATGCATGAAAGAAGAAGGTAGTTCATATTTATTTTATGTAGGTCAATGGAAGATTAATATTAGAAGGTGCACTTCGAATTTATTGGGGTGTCAGAGGAGTGATCCACCTAAAAGAAGATGATGATCAGCGTACTGTAGTTACAGCCCGGAACAGAAATTCGTGTAGGCGCAGTGTTTCTGATGTACGCGTATACGTTTTAAAGTAGCAATGTGCAAATCCTAAATATTTTAGATATTCTGATCAACTTTGTATATTTCTATAGAATGTGGAAGATGAAGAAAAGGAGGATATTTCAGTGAAAGAAACAGCAGAACAGGATGCAGAAATCGAAGCAAAGTCTGTACCAACTTCTCCTGATCATCTTAAAAGCCTCACTTTGCCGATGAAGTTGGATGTAAAAAATATGGAATGGGATGAGTTAGATGAGCTTCTTCAGGTTGTACAACAATTTTTCAAGCATATAAGTACGTGTCAATCTTCGTTTATACATACATCGTTACTCATTTATGTTCCCTTTTCTAGGTGGAGCGTAAAGTTGAAGATGGAAATAAATTATATCAAACAATGCCTGAGAACTTGCCGTCGATAAGTTCGCAGAATAGTTCAGACGCGGTACCGCTTTCCTCTCAGTCGAGCCTCGAAAACTCCGATTCCCGCGAAAATTCAGAAACTAGTAGCCCAAATCATCAAACAAGCCGGGGAAACGATAGTAGTATAACTAGCACGCCCACGCACAGTATAGGCAGCTCTTCCAGTACCGACACACCCATTTACCACGGAACTCCAAATCGAAATGGAACGCTTCGTAGAGTAGAATATTTCGATAATTTGGAAAGAAATACAAACAGCAATAGATCTATCAGCACGGACGACAGTTGGATCGAGAAGGGTTTAAATCGATCGATGTCGGGACCCGATTGTCTTCAGAGACATCGAACAGATAGTGACACGGATTCTGTAAATTCTCTTCAGTTTAGAGAAGACGACAATATGACTATGTCCACCGATAGTGGATTAGAGGTATTTAATAATCTTCATACAGCTAAAGTCTTTGTTATTCGTGGTCATAATTAGGATAAAGTTGTACTAACAAGTACCGCTCTTGACAAAAGAAAAAGATTTTGAAAATATCAACTTTCTCAAAATAGTATATCCATTAGTATATCCATAGTATATAATAGTAATATATAGTACATAATAGTAATCCATAGTATACAATAGTATATCCATTTTGTATATCAAGCTTTAAATATGTATAATTATGGTGTATTTTAGCTCGATGGTGTAGTTTTACGACGAAAGCAAGGCTCTACCGCTATCAGACGTCGACCCGGAGGCCGACGGCAATCTCGTAGCCGTTTGCGACGTCGCTGTTCAATCAACGGCCATTTTTATAATCGTGAGACCAGCTTTTTTACTCCCCCTCATGGCTCTCAAATGTCTGTGTGGATCACAAGTCTAGTAAATACTCAAGAAGTTATCAACCTTATGTTGGACAAGTATAAAGTTGATGCTAAACCGGACAACTTTGCATTGTTCGTGGTACGCGATAATGGGGGTAGGTTCTGATAAAATAGAATCAATGACTTCGTTGAAGTGATATTCTTACTGAACATTCATTTTCTTCAGAACAACGAAGACTCAGAGACGACGAATATCCTTTAGAAGTTCGAGTAGTACTGGGCCCACATGAAACTGTCGCACGACTATTTCTGGTAGATAAACTGTCCACACCGGAGATCAGCTCCGACGTCGCGCAATTTCTTAATCTCTCGTTGGCAGAGTGTCACGGTATTCTACAACGTTATCATTACGAGGAGGAACATCAAATTGGTTTGTTGAAGGAAAAGTACGTCTCTTTTTTGTTTTTTAAAAAAAAAGATGTAAACAAAATTCATTGATTAACGAAACGTATAAATGAATTTAATTTGTTCCATTTCCAGATACAAAGAGATGCGACGAAGAATACGGCAAAGAATGGAGGAGTTGAAAGTCCGATTGTAGTTAGTATACTCTCTCAAAAAACATTTGATTATTCATATCATTATTTTTCTATTAATCCACACTTACAGACCACTCGTTTTCTTCTTTTTTTTTTATACGTACACGTAAATTATTCGCCGTGAAATATTTTGTTTTATAATCAGTTAAAAGATATGTATTACGGTAACGGCACATAATCTTTAACCTTACACGTAGATCCATTTGAGACATCAAATGCAAAATGTTTATTTACGTTTGAGTGTATCGAGCTGTAACGTACTAACACTCTTTAGCTTTAAAGTCTCGTTGCTACATTACCAAGCTCTGTTCACTTCTTTGCATCTTTATTGCATTTATCTACACTCGGTATGCGCAGCTAATTATCGAACGAATCAGTGCAATTTAACTAGAAAATTATATATTTAAAGGACATACATTTTATGTCGACTGTGCATTGAACAGTAGTGATGACGTAGTCATGTGAGTCGTTGTTAATGCGATTTCTCCTAAATTGCAGACTGTTATAGATGCAGAATAGGACATAATTTATAAAATATATATGTATATTATATACGTATACTGGACGTTTATCAGCATATATATATATATATATATATGCCACGCGAACTTATCATTTTCTCTAAAACAAATTCAACGAAAATATTATACGTTGTATTTTTGATTTAAAAGATATGTCGAAGGACCTACGTTCCGCTTATATATAAGCCGTCAATTTTGTCTCGTCTATGGTTGCAATGTCAAAGCCCTTACGATTGAGTCTTCAGGACCCGTTTCAAAGATAAATGGCTTAGCTCGACAACAATGTCTCTTCGTATCAAGAAGTTTTGGTTAGGATAGAGCCTAAAGAATTGTAAAAAACTCTTCGTTTCTCACCGAAAACGAATGTTTGGAGCCCCTGAAACCTGTTCGTACATAATTGGCTCTTCTTCAGTTTCAGAACTTGAAATACTTGGCGTTCCAAACATTCTCCTGCACACTATCTTACCGATGATATAGCGTGTCGATCCAAAAGTTCTTTATATTTTTAATTTTCATTATTAACGACGTCTCGTACTGTATGTACAGATTTCATATTTCAATGCTATCATTTTTAATAGTCGTGTTCAATGACGTTCAACCTCTTTGACTATAAGTATGGTTCAAACACACGCTATTCGTCTGTAGTTTTGGTAATAAGGGCACAATGGTATAATCCACCTACCTTGCGGGACACTGTAGCTACGGTTACAACACTAAAGCTCTCTCATGCGTTTCGATTGCTTCTCTATAACTAAACGGACAAATTGAAATGAGAATCATTGTCGTAGCTCTCGAAAGGCAACAAGAAAATCCGTATAGTAGATAGACAGAAATTTCTAATGACTTCCGATTACAAAGCGGATAGGAACTTTTATACGAATATTTTTGTCGCTGTTTCCGGCGTACAATTATAAAACGCAAGGCTGTCCAACTTCTTACCTTGTGGGGATGGTGTTCTGCAAAATTTTGTTTCTTCACGTAGGTGCCAAAAAAAAGGAAAGAACTTATTGTATATTGAACGGCGAATGAAAAGTAGAATTTTAACGATAAAAATTGTTGAATTTGAAATGGAGATATTAGAGAAGGCGTAAAGTTTTTAAAATATATATGTATATATCGTCGCATGAACAGGTGGGGTTATGTAACCTTGGAACTTGAAATGTCCTCCTTCTTTGTGATACAAAAGGAATCAACAATATAATTGCTTGTTACTAAAACAATAGAGTTAATAGAGTTCGTCGTAGGGCTGTTTTTTTTTTTTACTATCACTTTCAGTTAGTGTTTCTTATCAGTTCTCTCTTCGTCTGCTTTGGAAGATTCTTCTTTCACAGAATTTTGTCCGTCCATGTGCTCTCTCATCTTCTAATTTGTCGCGTAATTCGATTATGTACTTTCATCTGTTTTAGTCTTCTTTTTAAAAATCGTACGCTGTCATCTCGACTGATCATGCTATACTTACAGAATTTTTAACAATAACACGCATCGCATTAACTTGATACTCTTCGCGTGAAACATAACATCCACGTTGGTGCTTCTACGTTTCAATTTTTGTGTCATAAACGAAAACGACGGCATCAGTGGTTTCGATGTTACACGACTCGCCCTGTGTGTATATATATTGTTTAGATAAAAATGATTACGAAACAATGTACCTTGGGACACACATATTAGTTGGACAGCTCCGATAAAATTCATAGACAACAAAAGATCGTTGTTACTCGATAACACAAGTCTCGACACCTAACACTGCCGTTAAATAGTTTATCGTACTTCTCATTGTAGCATAATGTTTACGACATTGGACGAAAGAAAGGAGTTGTTTTTAGAGGTTGCTTCCGAAATTTCTCGAGGAAAGATATTCCAATGTTTCTTGATCGGATCGTGGATAAACAAAACTGTAGCTGCCGAATGCATTCTACAAAACAAATGAATTTCATCCCTGCAGCAGTAGGAATAGCGCGGTTTCTCTATTAGAGATACATTGAAACTCAATTTTTCATAATTCTTTGAGAGATTTAATTTAAGTATTAACATGCGATTGAATCGTTACTGCAATCTGTTCGAAATCTTTAGATCTACGTCTTCGAAATTCTATTTTCAATAATCAAAATTTATAATTTCTCGTAGAAATTTATCTTTCCACAGTGTCGCAAAAGTACAGCATTTAATAGCGCGGTTTCTCTGTCAGAGATACATTGAAACTCAATTTTTCATAATTTTTTAAGAGATTTAATTGAAGTATTAACGCGCGATTGAATCGTTACTGCAATCTGTTCGAAATCTTTAGATCTACGTCTTCGAAATTCTATTTTCAATGATCAAAATTTATAATTTCTCGTAGAAATTTATCTTTCCACAATGTTGCAAAAATACAGCATTTAATCGTTAAATTAAGACGTATCTTGAACGTTTCTCTATCTGATTGCAAGAAACCTTTCACGAACATTTTCACAGAGCATTTTGGGGTGAACCGTAACTTCTAACATCGTCAAAAGATCAACCCTTGTTTTTGGAAAATAATACAAATAAAAACTATTTTATATTTGGTTGAAAAATTTGACGAAATGTTGCACCGTTACTGTGCTCGGTATTTAAAAAAAAATACAAGGAAAAATGACTATCGAACGTACTTGTATAATTTGTCGTTCAGTTGCCTCTTCTCTGAAATGCTTTGTACGTCGGATAATCTTTCTTACCAGCCCTGTTATGTAAGTAAAAGATGTTTAACTTCCGTGCGTAGACGTGGCGCAAATAACTGGCGATATTCACGCACAAGAGTATGATTTATACAGCGACAACAGTTTTAACGCTGCTCTGTGAAAACCATTCCTCCTCCTCGTAAAAGATGTATAGCGACGGACGCGCAACGGTGCAGATTGTTTCTGACCGTTGTTTATGACAATAGATGCCGATCGTATAATCATAATTTTAAGCTAGTCACTGTTTTTGTATAGTCACGCAAAGCATATGGTGTCGCGGTCGTATTTGCGATACAAGTGTGCCGACATCGCATCGCACACAATGAAATTAATTGATCTACAGACTCGGTGTTGCCCGATTTACTTTGGTCGATCGTCTTATGGGCTGACGTATACACATCCGAGGAGGCCTAAAAGCTTATGTTCTCTTATCGTAAATAGTAAAGATTCTGGAACTCATTTGAAACGACGTGGTAACCGACGATTATTATATCTGAGATTTTATTGCGAATTTCATCTTATTTTCTTATATAATAACGAATTTTATTGTATAAATATATTTACAATCATGTATCACAGTTGTTGCAGCTAGTTCGAGGCGCGTTATTCGTACTCTTGTTCCAAATACGTTTCACCTAAAAGCAAATAACAAATTAGTTTCTTAACGTAACATTGTGAAACGCTGTGTTTTTAAGCGATCGATTAAAAGCAAGCAAATCAAACTTTTAAAAAGGGGCTTAGCTTGAAACAAGCAAACTAAACTTAGAAAATGAAAGTTTCAGTTTTCATCCCCTAACCCTCTGACTATATTTTTGTGTATAAAAATTTGTTCGAATATTCAAATCGCGTGGATTGTTGTCCCACTGGTTGGCCAGTCAGCTAGTGATTATTAAATTGAAATATCTCATGTAATTTTTCTTCACTCGTACACACATTATTCCTACCGATTTTGCACATTATGTTCTTGATTTGTACATTGTAATAAGGATTTAAAAAAAAGAATAAACTGCTTTATTATTATTAGTCACACAATGATTATAGTAACATTGATACGTTGTCATCCCATCCAGAACGACCAGTGGGACAATATATTCCAGATTTCCCATCCCCTAGAGAAAATTGTTCACTTGCAAAACAACATTTCAATTGAAGATACAGCTAATTGGTAGCCAAAGAGTTAAGCAATACAAAGGATTGCAAATCGATAAGTATGAAATATTTTAAACAGTCGAACAGTTTAACAGATTTTATACTTCTTCGAATTTCTTAATACGTTATTTTACAGATAAACAAAAATCTGACAGATCGCTGAACAAAAATTGCCTTAACATTAAAATGCCTGCCAGGATGTTCGAACAAAAGTGTAATTAATTTGCAGAAAGTTGCAATATAATTTCCGATCAACGCGTGTTCTCCAAACAATTGATGCGACACTCGGACCGCAATACGATCGTTTCACGAAACCTAATATTGTTCGTCTGCATGCGTATCGAATCGTTGACATATCTCGAGGTAAATATTCGAAGACGAAGGAGAAACGAAAGGAAAGAGGGTTTGCTAGAAATCACAGATGATCGTGGACCACCGTGGACCACGTGAAGCTAACCGTGCAGGTTTTCTAATAAAATATTGGGTTGGCAACTAAGTAATTGCCGATTTGTTCGATGAAATAAAAATTTCTTTTTACTTGGAACGAAGTTTAATCCGTAATGTATTTTCCATTTCGTTCGATGACCTTTTGCCGTCTCTCTGACAACTTGAAAATTCCACGCTCGTAGAAAGTCTGATCCTTTTCGGCCAAAAACTGAGTTAAGTGAGATTTTACAGCGTCATCGTCGTTAAAAGTTTTACCACGAAGGGAGTTGTCCAGGGATTGAAATAAGTGGTAATCCGATGGCGCGAGATCAGGGCTATATGGTGGGTGTAACATCAATTCCCAACCAATATTCATCAATTTTTGCCGAGTGGACAAAGACGTGTGCGGCCTAGCATTGTCCTGCTGGAAAATGACACCTTTACGATTGACCAATTCTGGTCGCTTTTCCTTGACCACTGCATTCAATTTGTCCGGTTGCTAACATTCACGGATAATAAAAAATAACATAATAATAATAATAATAATAATATAAAATTATTATAATTATAATATTAATTAATATAATTATTATAATAATATTAATATATAATTAATATTATTATATATATAATAATTAATATTATATATTATATATAATATTATAATATATATAATTAATATTATTATATATATAATAATTAATATTATTATTATTATTATATTAATATAATATAACATTTACGGATATCATAAAAATGGGAGTGAGAGACATCTATAACTGAAATCGGCAATTACTTAGTTGCCAACCCAATATCATGCGCTTCGTTTGCCATGTTACAATAATAACAAGCGTCTGAATCGCGACGACCACGTGTTCAACGAATGATCTCGACGATCGAACGATCTTTCGTCAGAGCGTAGAATTCTCTTTTAGTTGTTAAGGTAGCTTCTGCTAGCTGTTAGTCGAAGTCGTAACCGGTGTAAATGTAAAATTTAACCAGGCACGGCCACGCATGTGCGACGCGTCTACCGGGTGAACATTGTAATTCTGAATTATGACGACGACGCGACGCAAGCTGCAGATGATTTTACAATGACCACACCCGGTAGACGCCCCGCATATGCGTAGCCGAGCGTGGTTAAATTGCACGGCTACACTGGTGTAACCAATATTTTGTAAGAACACGTTATGATCGATATTACACTTGTCTCTTTCATTTCCAGCGTTCAGTTAGGGCGCCTAAAACGCGTGCAGCGGTTGCCAAATATTTTTTAACCGCTCCTAGCTATGCATTCGGTTATAATTTTCTCGTTCGTCGATTCGTCGGCATTAAAGACTTGCCGTTTTTAATCGGAGAGATTAACAGGATTTATTGAATCGAGGCAATTTTTTGGAGTTCTGGACAACGGTTTGCGAAGTTCTTTCTTGGAAATTTGCAAGAATATTCTTAACATAACCGGGAGGAAGGTGAAATATTAGATTTGAAAAAGAATTCTGTTGCTGAGTGCAGTTTGAATAATAGACAGGAGTCATTTAATAATAATAATTAAATAATAGTCGTTTCAAGATTGAAAGTCGACGGTTAAGAATTTCTTGAAAAGTTCTACAAAAGTGATGAACGATTTTTTATCCGGAATTCAACGAATTGCTTGGACTAATATCATGTTGTAATTGCTGTCAAAATTATTATCTGAAAGAAAATTATCGAGCTACTTCTGCATGCAGCTTTCAATCGTTGGAAATCCTGTTAATAGGCTTCCGGTAAATAATGACATATGTATACGATAGATACAATAGGCTCTCTAACTGTATAAGTATAAGCATATAAAGAAAGTAATCGTGTACAAGTTCTGCAGAATGCGAAATAGATTGCGATAACGAAACAGATCCGTTTTTGCATTATATAGAGAAATAGGGTTGTGTTTGATTTATGATACATTATAGTACTATATTACATTATAATACGCTAACAGGCGATATGATTGATATAATAGTTAGGGGAGTGTTGTCTTGATCGGTTGAAATATTCTGCAGCAATCGAAGCAAGTTTATAGAACGCGAGATTAGAATTAATGGAAAAGGGGAGACAAGTTAGAGATTATCCGTAGAAATTAAGGAAAACGGAAGCATTTTATCAGAGATTAATAGATTTTAAATATTCCGTACCATGACGCATATTGACACGTTTGTTCGATACTCGACGTATCGAAATGTAACAAAACTACGAAGAAAAGTGCACAGTCCAAAATATGAAATATATATATATATAGATATATATATATATATATATATATATACATAAATGTGAGATTGTAAAATATACGAACGCATAAGAAAATTGTATAAATCGTTGAGAAAGAAATAAAAGTGATTGCTTCTTTTTTGCGAGCCCTTTTTATGCTGTCTCTCCTCGTTGAAATAAAAATGTTCTGCTATATATTCTCGACGGGTAAATCAATAATCATGCGTAAAAGGTTCATCATGATAACGTTCAAATCTGTTGTAAAATTCACTGTGTGTGAACAGCTTCTAAAACGGAATAACTTTTTTTAAAAAGTTATCTTAGAAAGACTAGTTTACCAAACACTGCGTAAAAAAGACATAAATACGACTTTTAGCGTATTTTATTTTTATTTTAGCGTATAATTTTGATAATTTAAAAATGATTTTGGACCGTGACAATATTTAGTGGTGCCGCAGAGTGCAAAAAGGATTAATAATGATGATAACTCGTCGTAAAACAACAGATCTTTATTAGCCTGTGACTCGCATGCAAAGAAACTATAGCAAGAACTTGCAGTGTAATTTATTTTTGTAACGAGTAACTCAAACGATTAATTTTAATCTTAATTTTACAGTTTTTGTCCTTATAACACTGTATCTAGTCACAGAGTTATATGAGGTTTAACTCTGAATTAACTCAAAGTTGTCAATACATAGGAAACAAAATTTTGTTCAAATACGAAAGTTGAAGAATTAAATTCTTACCAGAAAGTACCGTTTTTCGGAATCACTGTGTATAGAGCTTACACTATTCATGCAAGATTTGCGATCGCCATAAAATATCTTCTCTCGACGTGGATCACGTTTCATTCGAAACAAGCTACAGTTCGGAAAATAATTGTGTGCGAGACTTGAAAAGGGACATCATGTACACTGCAGTAATGTCTCCCCAATTGACGCTCAGATTGTCCACAAAAATGGACAATTTGGGAAGAGAAGATGCAATTTTTACAGCTTTGCACCTCGTTTATTATATTGGGTTAAGTAATTAAGTAATTAAGTAATTGCCGATTTCAGTTATAGGTGTCTCTCACTCCCATTTTTATGATATCCGTAAATGTTATATTATAAAATTATTATTATTATTATTATTATTATTATTATTATGTTATTTTTTATTATCCGTGAATGTTAGCAACTGGACAAATTGAATGCAGCGGTCAAGGAAAAGCGACCACAATGCTATAGTTAGCTTGCTGACTTTTTTAACAACCAAGAAATATAGTTCAAATGTTATTTCAGTTTTCTAAAATGGCATCAAAGTGGTACTACCGGCATAAAACAGATAGTTTTTGCATGGCACCAGCGTGGTGCCACCGGACGGCATAATGTTAATATTGAAACCAATAAAAGGATTAGCTTCAGTCTCAACGAGGAGGTTTTGATAATATATTGGGTTGACAACTAAGTAATTGCCGATTTCAGTTATAGATGTCTCTCACTCCCATTTTTATGATATCCGTAAATGTTATATTATAATAATATTATTATTATTATTATTATTATGTTATTTTTTATTATCCGTGAATGTTAGCAACTGGACAAATTGAATGCAGCGGTCAAGGAAAAGCGACCACAATGCTATAGTTAGCTTGCTGACTTTTTTAACACCCAAGAAATATAGTTCAAATGTTATTTCAGTTTTCTAAAATGGCACCAAAGTGGTACCACCGGCATACAACAGATAGTTTTTGCATGGCACCAGCGTGGTGCCACCGGACGGCATAGTGTTAATATTGAAACCAATAAAAGGATTAGCTTCAGTCTCAACGAGGAGGTTTTGATAATATATTGGGTTGGCAACTAAGTAATTGCCGATTTCAGTTATAGATGTCTCTCACTCCCATTTTTATGATATCCGTAAATGTTATATTATAAAATTGTTATTATTATTATTATTATGTTATTTTTTTATTATCCGTGAATGTTAGCAACTGGACAAATTGAATGCAGCGGTCAAGGAAAAGCGACCAGAATTGGTCGATCGTAAAGGTGTCATTTTCCAGCAGGACAATGCTAGGCCGCACACGTCTTTGTCCACTCGGCAAAAATTGATGGATATTGGTTGGGAATTGATGTTACACCCACCATATAGCCCTGATCTCGCGCCATCGGATTACCACTTATTTCGATCCCTGGACAACCCCTTTCGTGGTAAAACTTTTAACGATG